TTTACTGTTAATGTCATTAATTTTATACAGTTTTATAAATGTATTAACAGTAATAAACTTGAATTTAACAGTTTAATCTATTGAATAAACAGTAAATGTAACTTATAGATTTGCAAAATGTATTTGTATATATTTTATGCTGCTTTAATATAATTTATTTATTTATATTTATTTATTATTATTATAATATACTTATTTTACTGTCTCATGTATTTATTGAATTTGCTGTATTTTAAAGGCCCATCCAGGTTTGATTATTACAGGTTCAGCCCAATATGCTCAGATAGATGCAACAAGCACCCAAAGGAAACATGGGAAAAGGAAGTGAATGTAGATATTTCAGATGACCAATAGGATGACACCTGGGAGAAAACTATACAGAGCACATACATTATATCCCCTCCCATCGCTGTACGTTTGATTCAGAGTTTGGTTTGCTTCAGTTTTTAAACTAAAGACACATCTGAGCGGTTTGGTCTCAGAAATATAGAGCTGTGAGTCATCTGCATAGACCCTGAAACAGACCTCATGTTTGTGGATCACCAAGGCTAATGGCAGCAGGTTTAAACCAGTGTTTGGCACACTCTCAAAGCCTTATGGGAACTGTAGTTGAAAACAAACACAATAAAACCTGTTTTCATTTTTCACAAATATTGAGAGCGGAGGGGGCGGGGCTTCAGCTCTCTGTATTACTCTTCATTTCCCTGGGTATTAGGGTTAGTGGAGTACAGGTAACAGGTCATTAATGCTCAGGTAGTGATCTTCCTCTTCCTCTCTATTAGTCGCTTCCTGCAGCTCGCGGCGGGGGGCGTGGCCTGGATGTATCTGTGGGTGGAGCCAGACGGCAGCGTCGAGACCTTCGTAACCTGCTGCCTTATGAGGACCAGATGATGTCATATCCTGCCACTAAGGGAGGGACCAATGACCTGTACTACCAATCAGATGACTGGAGGGGGCGGGGCTTGGACCAGGCTCTGCAGCGATTGGTGGAGAGGGACCAGATGCGGGAGCAAGAAGAGGAGCAGAGAGCAGGTTGGAGACCAGTCCCCTCTGACTCTATTTAGAAATATTACAACTTTTCTCTTTTGGAGAAATAAACGAATAAACCAATCAAACGTGTTCACAGCCTACCTCGCCGCTCTGCTCCGCCTACTGAGCGAGGCAGAGAGTGCAGGATTGGTCGGCCCGGGTGACGTGGAGGTGGTGGAGGAAGAGGAGGACGAGGAGGACGATCAGGGGCCGCCAGGGGACTTCCAAGGCCCAGCACCTCCAGATTACGATGAGACAGGGCGGGGGCTGAACATGGGGAGGCCCCCGGCTGCCTGGTGGGGCCTCCTGGAGCCCCAGCTGGCTCAGGCTCTGCTGGACAGGTGAACACCACTTCCTGTTTCTGTTTAGGCCAGCGTGACGGGTTGGAGAACATTTTATTGAATCTTTCACAAATCTCTACATCTGTCAACATTTGTCAATAATTTGTTAAAGTGATCAATAATCAGCTGTGATTGTCAGGATGGAGCCTCAGTTGGCTCAGACTCTGCTGGAGACAGCGAGACAGGAGAGACTTCAACAGACTGGACGACTTTCATCAGGACTAAACCGAGGAGGGGACCAGGAGGCTCTGAGGTGAGTATCAGGAACATCCAACCAATCAATGATCAATATAACGATTTCTTTCTTCAGAAACGTAAGCGCTAACGGTACCTGTATTTCCTCCTCAGACGTCTGGTTGCTAGGTTACTATCAAGCATCGGCCCTAACAACGCCCCGGTGATCTCCTCCGGTCGCAGAGCGAGGAGGGACCTGTCCGTCACAGCAGCCGAACCCATCAGCCCCACCCACAGGAGAGCCCGCCGTTCCCTTGACGACATGGTTCCACCGTCGCCTAGCAACGACCCCCCTCTGTTCAGAGTGAAGAGGCTGGAGGAGGAGGATGAGGAGGAGGAGGAGGAGAAGCCCCGCCCCCCTGCCGCAGGGCTGCAACGGATGAAACGCATCGATACCATGGCGGTGGAAGAACTGAATCATGGGAGTCGTAGGCGTCGAAGGAGAGCCGCCCTGAACTACGACCCCCAAATACTGATCGATCAGATTGTGGAATACATGAGGCAGTGAGGAGGAGGAGGAGGAGGAGGTGTATTTTGTTGTTGTCTTTAAGGACTTTTTGTTTCTTGTTTTGTTTTTTTGCTGCTTTTAGTAAAAAATGTATCAAATCAGTCATTTGTTGCTAAAATGAAAAGAAAGAAATGTGGACGGAGATTAACTTTATGAAAAATAATTTCCTAAAAAAAAAAAGATTCAAATTTTCCTGGAAAGAACATCATTCGGTACTACTTATGAAAACGACATAATTTAAGTATAAAATAATATGTTGCCACTTAATTTGAGGTCATTATTTCATTTTAAAGAAGTCTGTGGAAAAAAATAAAGATAAAACTTTTCTCCTGGCATTTAGAGACACCCCGAATCTTACACAAATCACAATGATGAGTATCAAATGAATATCTCAAGATAAATCAGCCTAATTTTCAATACTTAGAGACATTCCTGACATTTATTGTCAGAAAAAAACATCATATCAACAACATAAATAATATCCAGAGCCTGGTTTATATTTTCTACGATATCTAATGTGAGATTAATCAATAATAACAGAGGTTTTTCATAGAGTCAGCATCTGATAAAGAATCCATCATTGCTGTATAATTTTTAAGTTATTATTTTTTTGGCCTTT